GTCTACAAGAAACTCGCTTCAAATGTAATGACACAGGGTGAAAGTATACAAACAGAAAAAGAAAATGATCTGGAATAGAGAGGGACATTAAATAACAGTGAAATGATAAGACACAGCATTTCTAATGTGTACTCACCAAACACACTTCAAAATGTTTTTTTCAAAAACCAAAAACTATTAAAACAGAAAGGAGACACACACACACACCCACAAATATAGTTGGATCTCACCACCCCCTTTTCAACTGTAAGAACAGACAATGAGGAAGGATAGAAAAAAATTCAACAACGGATCTATTTGACATTTACAGGATATGCCATGCATAATACACTTCTTTTTTTCAAGTAACCAGAGAATATAAACAAAAATGGCCCATATCTGGGACCACTGAAATAAAAAATTCAACAAATTTAAAATGGAAGTATACAGCATGTGTTCTCTGGCCACAATAGAATCAAACTAGAACTAAATAACGGAGTAACAGCAAAATTTCCAAATATCTGGAAACCGAACAAACTTCAAAATAATTCATAGATCAAAGAAGACATCTCAAGGGAAATTTAAAAGAAAATACAGTGAACGGATTTTTAAAAACATACTGAATATACTGAAACTTGTAGGGTGCAGCTAAAGCAATGCTGAGAGGGAGATTTATAGCACTAAAATGGTTTTACAGTAGTCTCCCCTTATCCATGGAGAAATATGTTCCAAGACCTCCATGTAAGCCTGAAACTCTGGAGAGTACTGGATGCTATATATAGTATGTTCTTGCCTATACATATATATCAATGATAAAGTTCAATAAGTTAGGCACAGTAAAACAGTAAAAATAACTAATAATAAAACAGAACAATTATAACAATGTGCTGTAATAAAGGTTACATGAATGTTATCTCACAAAATGTCTTATTGTGAGGCACCTGGGTGGCTCAGTGAGTTAAAGCTTCTGCCTTCGGCTCAGATCATGATCCCAGAGTCCTGGGATTGAGCTTTCTTCTCAGCAGGCAGCTTGTTTCCCCCACACCTGCCTGCCTCTCTGCTTACTTGTGATCTCTGTCAAATAAATAAATAAAATACTTTAAAAAAAAATGTCTTACTGTACTGTACTCACCCTTATTGTGGTAACAGATGATAAAATGCCTACATAAAATGAAGTGAGGTAAATGTAGAATTAATGTAGAATTATGCTATTACTGACATTCTGACAATATGTCAGAAGGAGGATCATATGCTTCTGGACCACAGTTGACTGTAGGTAACTGAAATTGTGGAAAGTGAAAATGAAGATATGGTGGGACTACTGTATTAGAAAAAAGGAAAAGCCTCAAATTAATAAAGTAAGCTCCCACTTTAAAAACCTAGAAAAATAAGAGCAAAACAAACTCAAAACAACCAGAAGAAAATAGGAGAAATCAACAAAATTGAAAACAGAAAAATGAAAAGAGATTCTTTGAAAAGATGATTCTTTGAAAAGATGAACTTTGAAAAGATGAATAGAACTTACTAAAAAAAAAAAGAGAAGATACAAATTAATTAGTATCAAGAATGAAACCGAGGATACAACTACACATCTTGTAAACATCAAGATAAGGAAATGCTATGGATAATACCACACACATAAATCTGACCACTCAAATGAAATGGACCAATTCCCTGAGAGGCACAACCGAGATTTCATCCAAATGAAACTGACAGAACAGTTCTGTAACTTGGAGAAAAATGAATTCATAATTTTAAAACACACCAAGAACAAATCTCCAGGCCCAGATTTCACTGGAGAAAACTACAAAATATAAATCAAAGGAGCACACTTAAACGTAAAACAGAACTATTAAAAGAAAAAAAAACATGTCCCAACAAAACTGAGAAATCAGACAGGATATGCCAATCCTGTCCTCCACTGAAACAGATAATGAAAGAAATCATGCAAAATGGACCAGTTCAAGCCATAAGGCAAGTTCATGAGGGTTTCTTCCATTATAAGACAGGGATATATAGACATGTTACCAGAACAAATGAAGAATCAGGAAAATATCGAAAGCTTCAGACATATGCCTCAAACTCATTGGATGGGGCATACTGAAAGTAACCAAAGGACAGAAAAGAAAGATTCTGGATTGCTGCGAATTCCTGGGGACAGTCATGAGGAGAGACTGGCTACTTCAGGACTCCTCAAGGAGTAAATGAACTGGACACTGAAAATTTATTTACTGGGGCACCTGGGTGGCTCAGTGGGTTAAGCATCTGCCTTCGGCTCAGGTCATGATCCCAGGGTCCTGGAATCGAGTCCCATATCAGGCTTCCTGCTCCGCAGGGAGCCTGCTTCTTCCTCTGCCCCTCACCCCACTCAAGCTCTTTCTTTCTCTCTCTCTCTCAAATAAATAAATGAAATATTTAAAAAAAAGAAAAGGTGGGGCCAGCTTGTGGCCAACTGACAAGCTCAGATGAACCACAACATATCATTAAATTTCCAAAAGGCCATGAATTTAAATAACCCCTTAAACTGAAATTAAGCAATGTGAGGTTCTCTGTGACAGTGGAATGTTTGTCCCTTCACCATGTCATTATAATGTGCCTATTTTCTTGTATCACCCTAGGCTCCATGCTCTGTTTTTTTTTTTTTATATCACTGAATATATAAAAACACTAATTGAGGATAGCAGAGTAGCTAAATGCCTTTAAAGTTCTCTGGTTGTCTTTATTTTTCTCTTATGACAATGACCTTTTTTACTTTGATTGTTCACAGAAGTGTGACAGCGCCTGTCTTAAAAGTTCATGGCATTCCTTTGTAGAAATGAAGTAGCTTCTGTCTTTAACCAGTGATGATTTCAGACAGAAAAAAAAAAAAAAAAGCATGGAAACACCAATTTACCATCTTCGTGATTTTTTTTCAAACACATAATGCTTTCTTCAGACCCTGTTTAAGATTTGCCAAAAGCAGTGGAAATAGACTGTTTCTCTCAATAAATTAACATTTTGTTTCTTTTCATTTGTCTTAACCTAGCTTGCAATCTGACTCAAAAGAAAAGTAATTTTCCACAGGAAATAAATATTCTTTATGGTAGTTTACTCTTTATACTATTAATGGCCCGTGCTATACAGAAGGTGGTGTCTGGGAGGGAAAATTTGCCATCATTCCTCCTCATTCTTTTGGTTAGTCTAATAATTGAAGGACAGATTTTAAAAAGAGAGAGAACCTGCAGACTCTCACACTAGGCCCCAAGTTCTTACACTGACAGCAAAAGCATGACCCATAAAAGAAAAAAATTGCTAAATTGGACGTTAGCAAAATTAGAAGCTTTTGCTTTGGGAAAGACTGTTAAGTAGATGAACAGACAAGCTTTCACTTGTCCCCATATATGTGGGAGAAAGGTTTACAAACTACGTTATCTGACAAGGACTCATATCTAAAATAAATAAAGAACTCTTGGAGTAAACTCCAATTAGAAAATGGGGTAAGACATGAAGAGAACACTGTATCCAAAAGGATAATAAAGATGGCAGATAAACTCTTGAAAAGATGTTCAACATCATTAGCCATTAAGAAAACACAAATGAAAACCACAATGATACACACAACTTCACAACTACCAGATTGGCAAGAAAAGAAAAAAGAATGACAACACCGAAGACTGGTGAGGCTGGATCTGAATAAGCCACACATTACTAGTAGGAATGTAATTGTCAGTTTCTTAAAACGTAAACATGCAACTATAGTTGACTGAGATGACCCACGAATTGCACTTACAGGCACTCATCCCAGAGAAATAAAAATTTATGTTCACTCAAAATCTGGTTCACCAATGTTCATAGCAACTTTATTGACTTTTATCAATGTCAAATCCTGCTTGTGATATTGTACCAATTTTGCTGGATGCTGCCACTGGAAAAAAATTAGGTAAAGAGTACAGGAAATACAGAAAAGTCTCTGTAAAATTTCTTACAACTATATATGAAGAATCTACTACTATCTCAAGATAAAAAGTTTAAAAAAATAAAATGAACATCTTTAAAAAGAAAGGCTCTTTACCTGCTAATCCTGCAATACCTGGTCTGTGTTCATCTACAGCTATGTCCTCACTTCTACTTGTCATTCAAATCAAATTCCTTCTTTGCTCTTGGATTACTTGATTCTTATTTTATCCAGCTAAAACCATTCAAATGAAATTACTCTTGCTAAAGTCAATGACAATCTTCCAACTGCAAAACAAAATTGAAACTTGCTCGTTTTTTTAATTTACCTACCCTAGTATTTGACACTCATAATTAGTTCTCCCTTCCATGAAACCTTCCTACCTCTGCTGGTTGTCCTTCAGCTTCACTGTCCTCTCCTCTGAGAAGCCTTGCCAAACCTCTCTCATCCCACAGGGGCCTTCTGTATTTACTTAACAACTTTATAGTACTGACTTCCTTTTTAATCTCCTCTAGCACAAGAAACATTCCTGGAAATCAGTGTCTTGTTTTATCTCTGTATCTTTGAGGCCTAATAAGAATGAAGAGTTGAAATATGCTGCACGACTGTTCATAAGACTGAAGCATAGTCAATAATTCATTCAGACTCTTTCAAATAAATGGAAGCATCTAACTTACACAGTCTGTCCTTTGAAACAAAACTCATCTTGACTTAACTTTTAGGAAGCATTCTCCCGTAATTATACCAATTACCTACTAAGAATCACAAGTTCCTCTGCCCCAATAAAACCCCCGCCCCCCCAAAAATAAAAATTACTTATCTAAACACATTTATGATAGTTCCTTTTCGTTTAATATTAAACTCCTGAAGGGCTGGCAATTCTATGATTCATAGAGACTTAAGACAGTTACATGTCTCTAGGAACTCTACAAATACTGAGTCTTTAAAATGAACAGAAAATAAGACTGCTTGAGAAAAACAACGGGCTTAGTTACCAGAGATCAAATTACTAAAAGGAAATACTGCAAATATATCACCTTTTAAAATAATAAATACTGCATCCCAGCTGATAGCCTTCCAGACTTACCTTTGTCTTGTTGAACATTCTCCTTCTTCTTTGGCTACCCATCCAACATCTGCAAAAGACACCACTGCATCTTCTCCCAGATGGTTTGGGCTCCATTCTGTTGTAGGGCTGGTAAGCTGTAAGTTATAAGGGAAGTTCTTTGGTACCAAGATGTCAGAATAAAACTTAATCACCTAAAAGAAAATCATCAGCTCTGGTGTTAAAACCACATGGACAGTATCTATATTTACATTGAAGGTCCCCACAAAATGGACCATTAGTTATGTCACACAGTTGCCTAGGAATGTATAACAATCTCTGAATTATAATAAATGGGTATTATATAGATCTGTTAAAATGCTGAAAAAATATTTTTAAAAAATCCTTAAATCATGAATTTTTAAATAAAAGTATTAACTGTAAAAAACAAAAAATACTAATTGCAATAAGACAGAATTCCCTAGTTAACCTTAACCACAAAAATGAGAATATTCTGAAATTCTTGAAGTTCCTGAATTTACTTTAAAAAAAGGAAAGATAATTTAATTGAATTAAATTTGTCTTTTTATAAGTACAATGCCAATGAATATAATTTTAAAATTAAGTTACCAGATTAATACTTCCTAAAAATAAGTAACAGTAAGCTTTAAATAAATGAGAAAATGCAGACTTTGTAATTGAAGAAAAGTTAAAAAGGCCAAAGAGATTTACTTATTAATGCATTTATCAAAAATGTTCTCAAGGGGCGCTTGGGTGGCTCAGTTGGTTAAACATCTGCCTTTGGCTCAGGTCATGATCCCATGGTCTTGGGATAGAGCCCTGTTGGCCTCCCTGCTCAGCAGGGAGTCTGTTTTTCCTTCTTCCTCTGCCCCTTCCCCTTGCTTCATGCTCTCTCTCAAATAAATAAACAAAATCTTAAAAAAAAAAAAAAAAAAAGATTCTGCTATAACCCATGCTCTGTTTAAACCTTTTTTAATACTGTCATTGTCAGATCAAACTTTTGGAAGCTACACTTAAATGTAATGCTTTTTCCTCAAAGACAAAATATACCTTGCAAACACATTAATACTGAAAGAGTTAAAAATCAAAATGTCTTTAATATTATGAACAAAAATTTTAATCAAACATACTGGCTGCTGGTATGCACTAGCATACCAGCATTCTGAAATAACTACCTAACATTATCAACTTAATAAAGTAGCATTAGAAAACTGACATTTTAATAACATACTAAGAATATCAAGTTTTTAAAATGCCTGGGTGGCTCAGTGGGTTAAGGCCTCTCTGCCTTTGGCTCAGGTCATGATCGGGCTCTCTGCTCAGCAGAGAGCCTGCTTCCCCCCCCCCCCCCGTCTCTGCCTGCCTCTCTGCCTACTTGTGATCTCTGTCTGTCAAATAAATAAAATCTTTTTTAAAAAATGCCTTAAATTATGGCTTTTGGGGAGGACAAGATACAGGCAACAGGAAAAGGGTAAGCTTTAAAAGGGTAAATATTCAAGAATCTAATCCTGGGCAAAAACAAAAAATAATAATGGAATTAAAGTGAAAAGCCTTTCAAAATACAAATGTTTTAAAGCATGTAGTGGAATAACTGTGGCCATAAGAAAGGAAAAAAAAGAAGTAAACTCCTCAGGAAGTACACTGTCAAGGGATATGATCAAAGAAAAATCAAAAAGATTTTTCTACTTTTCCCCCTTACATTTTAGAAATTTATCCAAGTAAGTCAATAAACACAGATATTCAGTCAATGGGTATCTTATACAACTGAAATTAACTGGGCATCACATCTCTCAAGACACAGAGAAATCTGGTAATATTTCCATCCGTTACTGAAAACACAATAATGTATTAATATTCCCATAACATTGTAATAGGGAGAGTCCCAAGTGGGTTACATGGAGATCCTTAAACAAAAAAGGCCCCCAGTCCCATGGAAGTTCCTAGAAGATACAGTATTTAATGGGCTGTTTTGTAAAAGTGAAAGATCAAAAAAGTAAAACCTGAACGGTACCTTCCTAAGGTGCTAGACTTTATGAAGATCAATCTGATTGTAACTATTCTAAAAAATCTTATTGCAATACAGTTCTAGTTTGTAGGAAGTGAGGTATATTAAAACAAAATTAAGTTTTGACCTTAAAACTTCTTCCTTTCCCACAAGTTACAAAAATTGAAGTTTTCTTCCTAGATATTTCTGTTTACAAATGGAAGCAAAATGATACTTTTCTAAAAATAAATACTTAAAAATAGAAAAGTTGACCTATTTTGTGACAGCTTTTCAGAGTATTTATAACACAATTAAGGATTAAACGATGCAGCTCAATTTTACATTATGTAGTTGCTTTCTGCATAAACTTAAAAAACACAAACCAAAATTTTCCATGGATTTAGTTTAACAACATGTCTGTAACATGTGCTCAATGAGATGAAAACGTTGATCATACTGTTGACCATATCTGTATCATTTCTAATGGACATCCTACCCCACAAAACAAGGTCATCTTAGTATTTAAGTCATTTACCTACATTAAACAATGATTTATGCCATTTAAAAAAACAAAAACCTAACAGGGTCTCTGAGGAAACCAAACTCATCGAAAAGACAAGATAAAAGTGAAAAATAACAACACTAATCTTTTTTTAAAAAAGGCATTTCAGTTGCTGCTGAAACATGCACTGAACAACAAGCATGGAATGGGAAGGACAATTCACTCAGTAAAATACTAGTTAAGGAGACACCAGTGCAGGCAAGGGGGCTGATGGCATGGAATTGTTGGAAGGATGATTAGATGCCACTGACATGCATGGATGACCTAAGGGAAGTTTGAAAAAGACAAAGCCAACTTACTAAAAGTTCCAGCAAGGTCCTGTCTTACCATAGCTATTGTTAGTAAGGGAAGAAAAAAAAAAAAAAAAAAAACAATGAAGAGAACAGACAAAAAAATTTCTTCAAAGTCAAGGGCATAATAAAACTTAAAAGTAAAATTCACACATATTGATTTGTAAGTATCCAAAGTCCTTTCAGAAAGCATGAAAACCATTTCATCCCGAGCAAAAATCCAGTCATTGCATTGTATTTTTACTGATTTTAAGGAATTTAATTCAACATCTGATATAATTTAAATTATCCAAAATTCAATTATATTTCAAGAATTTTACTATAATAACTTTAGTTTTATATATTCTGATAATGTAAAACTGATTAATAGAACTCAAAGAAAAATACAAAGCTTGTATAAAAGTTGAAATATCTAAAATAAAATATTAGAAGAGCTAACTTTGTCCTAATGTGACTTTTCATAAAATAAACAGTTATTAGGAACCATGATTCTCTCAGTTTCTTGCCAAAAACTGTGTTAATAGTAATTAGACTTAGTCTATTTTACCAGCATTTGTTTATAGCCCAATGCAAATTATGTATTCTTAAAAGCAGCACAGCAAAATAATAATCTCCAGCTTTTACTTACAGATTAATTCTTTTTCTATCCTGCCATAATAAAAACAACTGAAAGCGAATTTCCATATTTTAATATAGTGACATACAATAAGCCAAGCAGATACCTGTGTAAACAACACTAAATCCAGTATTCTCATGCTTCTAAGTAGTATGGTCCCTTTTTAAAAACTGAGGATTTAGGGGCACCTGGATAGCTTGATTTCAGCTCAGGTCATCATCTCTGGGTGGTGAGATCAAGCCCTGCACTGGGCTCTGTGCTGAGTGTGGAGCCTGTCTGAGATTTCCCTCTCCCACTGCCACCCCCCAGGCCGTACTCTGTGCACATGCTCTCTTTTCCTCTCTCAAAAAAATAAATAAAATAAAAACAGAGCATTTATTTTTTTTAAACATTTTATTTATTTACTTGATAGAGATCACAAGTAGGCAGAGAGGCAGGCAGAGGCGGGGGGAGGGGTACTCCCCACTGAGCAGAGAGCCTGATGCGGGGCTGATCCCAGGATCATGACCTGAGCCAAAGGCAGAGGCCTTAACCCACTGAGCCACCCAGCGCCCCCCCAAAACTGAGCATTTATTAAACTTTCTATTCATGATTCTTAGAATGTGGAAGAGTAGGAAGAGAAGGTGGAGAGACCACAAATAAATGGAGGGAAATGTTCCTGTCAAAATAACCCAAGAAAGGGGGCATCTGGGTGGCTCAGTGGGTTAAAGCCTCTGCCTTCGGCTCAGGTCATGATCCCAGGGTCCTGGGATCATGCCCCACATTGGGCTCTCTGCTCAGCAGGGAGCCTGCTTCTTCCTCTCTCTCTGACACCTCTCTGCCTACTTGTGATCTCTGTCAAATACAAAGAATCTTTGGAAAAAAATAAATAAATAAATAACCCAAGATGGTAAGTAACAGGATCCCCATGGAGAAACTAGTCTTTAAGAAGTCAACTAGTGGGATGCCTGGGTGGCTCAGTTGGTTGGACGACTGCCTTCGGTTCAGGTCATGATCCCAGAGTCCCGGGATCGAGTCCTGCATCGGGCTCCCAGCTCTATGGGGAGTCTGCTTCTCCCTCTGACCTTCTCCTTGCTCATGCTCTCTCTCACTGTCTCTCTCTCAAATAAATAAAATCTTAAAAAAAAAAAAAAGTCAACTAGTGAAGGGCCCCTGGATGACTCACTTGGTTAAGCTTCTGACTCTTGATTTCTGCTCAAGTCATGATCTCAAGGTCATAAGATCAAGCAACCCCCCCACTTGGACTGTACAGTGTGGAGTCTGAGTGTGGAGCCTGCTTGGGATTCTCTCTCTCTCTCTCTCTCTTCCTCTGCCCCTCCCCACCCCCCCCTTCACGTGCATGCGCACTCCTTCTCTATCAAAGAAGAAAAAAGAAGTCATCAATTACTGAGAATAAATAAAACATCATGAACATTCATTATTATTTACAGAGTTAGGCTTCAAATCACTGAGCCACACTACCAAATTTATAAAACATAACATTATATTTGAATTTCATTATTCTTAACAGTCATTTTAGAGCTAAAAATAACCAAAAAATGAACACCGAACAGAGTTTGGTATCACATGCTAGCTATTATATTCTGATGTTCCGGAATATCAAAGAGGAGCTGAAAAAATTTAAGTTTAATAGTTATTTTTAGAATTATTCCAGGTACTTAACCTTCAGACACCTCAGACACCAG